ATTAGTATACTTAGTTATGTTACTATAATAACAGAGTATATAATAATACAAAGTAAAAGTAGGTTCACATTACCTACTACTAATTCTTTTTTACTTACTACCTCTATAAACGTTCTGTTTTAAACCTAAGTTATAGATATAGGACTATCTTTCTATAAGGAGGGGGGTAGTGTAACAACACTCTATAAATAGTGACCTAATACTACTAGGATATAGTTCTAGCAACTTATGACTATAGCCCTTATTACATAGCATAAGCGTACACTAAACTACTACTAAACCCTTATATATAAGGAGCAAGGAACTATAGCATTATAGAGTAGTTTTTCTATATCCTTTTATAGAAGACCTATAGGTGTAGAGAATATATCCTGGTGTTCTTATCATCCTAGCACTCCTATATGCCTTGTAGCAGATTCACACCTATTCCAGATATCTCTCTTCTTGCCTGCGTCGTTACACTTTTTAGTAATTAAGTTAGCTACTTTGCTAACTATAAGGGTCTCCTCTACATGTATATATTATTGCTTATAGGTCTTGCTCTTTATAGACGCTTCTACAGCATCTTAAAGGTGGCCTATTTCCTCCTATATTAACACTATATTATAAGCTATCTGCTAAGCACCCTTTACTAACTATTAAACCTACTTATCTAACAAACTTGCTAGAGACCCTTAATAGATTTAAATGTACTTTTAAATTAGAGTTAACTACTTATCTACTTTATAAGTAGTGTGTAGTGTCTTTAGCTCCTAGGCAACGTTGCTAGGTTTTAGTGGTGTTGGCGTGTGCAGGCGCACATTAAGCTTTAATAACACCACCTCTAGGTTGTGTAGGACTAGCCTAGCACCTCTAAAGCCTGCGCAAACGTTCTCTCTAGTGAACGCCTTACTAAATGCTAATTTAAAGGCTAGTAGGAAGGTTTCCTTATTAATATAGTAGATGCAACTGTGTGCTAAGGCCAAAACCTTATTGCTATACAGGCGCTTTAGTGGCGAGAAGCAGGCAACGTTAAGTGGCTGCAACAGGTGCAACGAGTGCGCGGGCATACAGAGAGTGATTATCTTCTTCTCTCTGCAGAGATCTTGGAAAGCCACTAAGCAGGGGCTCTTATAGCTATTAATAGTAAGTAGCTAGTAGACCCTAACTAGCTTTGCATGTGTATTAAAGTAGTAGAGCTAGGCAAGCGCTAGATTATTGTTAGTCTAGCTAGTAGGACTAATATTAATAACCTAGTCCTGTAGGAGGTCCTTAGTAAACTAGTTAGAGATAAGAACCTTGCCTGCAAGGATAAGGAATAGTAGGATAACCTTCCCTATGACGTGTTTCACAAGCGAGCGCCGCACCCAACCGAGCGCCGCACTCTCGCTGCCAGAACGCCGGCGCAACAACAGCGCGTAATGTCTCAACCACAACAAGCTCGTAGTTTTTCTATAACGTGTTTCA